CGGCCCACAGACTGAGGGGGAATCCACTGACTGATCAGAGGGGGATTGCAGGGATCTCTCTGCTGGTGCAGGATTCTCTTGCTTTTCCTGTGCTTGGATCTGGGTCACAGTTCTGGGTGGCGGTCCTGGGGCGAGAAGGAACGCTGGCGTGGTGGAGCTCGTAGTGGCTGTGGAGAGGAAATCCTCCTCAGAGTTCCAAGATAAAAAAGAGTGCTCATAGACCCCAGCACAGGCCAGGAAAGGAGTAAACACCTTGCCCTTGATCATAGCACCTTGGAAGAACTGAAAATTTACAGGTCCCTAGAAGTATCTCTGAAAACAGCTGCACAAAACCCCTGAAGCTTGGGACAGTACATTCTCCACACTGGAAACAGAATCCTACCTTAACAAAGAGTTTATAACTCAAGTAATTGGCTGGGATCATGAGCAAACTGCACAAAAAAAGTCAGACCATAGAATCTTTCTTTGATGACAAAGAAGATCAAAACATACAACCAGAAGAAGACAAGGAAGCCAAAACTCCTACATCCAAAGCCTCCAAGAAAAATATGAATTGGTCCCAGGCCATGGAAGAGCTCAAAAAGGATTTTGAGAAGCAAGTAAGAGAAGTAGAGGAAAAACTGAGAGTGATTCTAAAGGAGACCCAAAAAAATACTAAAGAAAATAACACCTTAAAAAATAGCCTAACCCAAATGGCAAAAGAGGTCCAAAAAGCCAATGAGGAGAAGAATGCCCTAAAAAGCAAAACTGGCCAAATGGAAAAGGAAGTCCAAAAGCTTACTGAAAAAAATACTTCCTTCAAAATTAGAATGGAGAAATTGGAAACTAGGGACAGTTTGAGAAATCAAGGCACTGTAACACTAATCCAAAGGAATGAAAAAATAGAAGAGAATGTGAAATATCTCATTGGAAAAACAACTGACCTGGAAAATAGATCCAGGAGAGAGCACTTAAAAATTATTGGACTATCTGAAAGCGATGACCAAAAAAAGAGCCTAGACATCATCTTTCAAGAAATTATCAAGGAAAACTGCCTGATATTTTAGAACCAGAGAGCAAAATAGAAATTGAAAGAATCCAACAATCACCTCCTGAAAGAGATCCCTGAAGGAAAACTCCTAGGAATGTTGTAGCCAAATTCCAGAATTCCCAGGTCAAGGAGAAGATATTGCAAGCAGCCAGAAGGAAACAATTCAAGTATTGTGGAAACACAATCAGGATAACAAGATTTAGCAGCTTCTACATTAAGGGTCTGGAGGGCATGGAGTATGATATTCCAGAGGGCAAAGGAGATAGGAGTACAACCTAGAATCACCTGCAAAACTGAGTATAATTCTTCGGTGGAAAAATTGTCATTCAATGAAATAGGGGACTTTCAAGCATTCCTGTGGAAAAGACCAGAGCTGAATAGAAAATTTGACCTTCAAATACAAGACTCAAGTGAAACATGGAAGAGGTAAACAGGAAAGAGAAATCATAAGAGACTTATTAAGGTTGAACTGTTTACATTCCTGTAGGGAAAGATGATATTTGTAACTCATAAGTCCTTTGTCAGTATTAGGGTAGTAGGAGGGAAAAAATTATATGTATGTATAGATAGATAAATAGATAGAGGGCAGAGGGTGAGTTGAAGATGAAAGGGTGATATCTGAAAAATAAAATTAAGTGGTGAGACAGGATTATACTGGGAGAAGGAGAAAGGGAGAAGTAGGAGAAGGTAAAATATCTCACATGAAACAGACAAGAAAAGGCTTTTACAGTGGAGTGGAAATGGGGGAAGGTGAGAGGGAATGAGTGAATCTTATTCTCATGGGATTTGGCTTAAGGAGGGAATAACATACACAATGGGGTATGGAAATCTATCTTACCCTACAGGAAAATAAGGGGGGAAGGGGACAAGAGAGCAGAGGGTTGATAGAGGGGAGGGCAGATTGGGGGAGGGGATAATCAAAAGCAAACACTTCTGAGGAGGGACAGGGTCAAAAGACAGAATAGACTAAATGGGGAGTAGGATAGGATGAAGGGAAATATACTTAGTTTTTCACAACAGGGCTACTATGGAAGTGTTTTGCATGACTCCACATCTATAACCTGTATCGAGATGCTTGCTTTTTCAATGAGGGTGGGTGGGGAGGGAGGGAGGACGGGAGAAAATTTGTAACCCAAAGTTTTAAAAACACAAAGAATTAATTAAAAAAAAAATCAACCTAGCAATAAATCAAGGCCTGATGTGTAGCCAAGATCTCTGAGGTCTAAATGCTCACACTGAAAATTTAACAATTTGGCCATAGGCTGGCTCCTATATCCTTCTGGGTGTAGCCCTCTTCCACACCCCATTAACAGTCTTCCATAGCGCAGAGACAGAAGAGACAGTTGAAGTTAACACAGGGGGGTGCCTTGGGTCCACTGTACTTATGATGGAGGAAAAATAAAGCTAAAGGCTATGATAACAACAACAACAAAAAGAAATGAATGAGTTATAATGGGACAGATAAAGGTGATCCTTGAGTATAGGTTCTAAAATATTTTATCATTTCACTAAACCCCTGTTCAAAATGTTAAAATTTTTAGGATTTGTTATTTTTTTTTTACATTATCCTTTTACTTTTCTATGTGATGGTTGCTTTTCAGCTAAGCAACTGTCTTGCACCACATGTTAGTGACATTTAAAATTCTGTAGACAAGTCTGTATCTAGAATGACTTGTCATTATTCTCTCTCTCTCTCTCTCTCTTCCTCTACTTATAAGAATAAATGGTGGGAATAGAATGGAAAGATCAAAATCCTATCTTGGCCTTTCATAAACACACAGGGTGTTGGGTACAATATTGTTTTTTGTCTATGGCTGAAATCTAAATGTTTTCTACCTGGGGAAGGAATGTTCTTTTGTTATAAAATTTGCTTCGTTGTTAGCATTAGCTATGTGACTGCTGGGCTCTGCAGAACTTTTTTTTATGGCAGCCTTGCTCTGATTCATCACTCAGGCACCATGTTCTGCCTACTCAAAGAAAAGAAATGGAGCATTCAAAGGGAGTACAAGACTAGTAGGAGGCATAAAATGACTTTTTCCATGCTGTGTCTGAAATCAGGTCTGTCTTCTTCTTGATTTATTTCCATGGTGCATAGCTGAGTGGTTCCTGAGTCATGCTCTGCCTGGGAAAGGAACCTCTGTTCATCGTCCCTTTAATAATAATAATTCACATTTGATATTGCATCTTAAGCTTTGTGAATCACTTTACATACATTCTCAACTGACCTTCACAACAACCCCGAAGGGCAGGTGTTGTAACTATTATTAACTTTTTATTTTATGGATTAGAAAACTGAGGACTTGCCTAGGCTCAGGGGTAGGGAACCTGTGGCCTCAAAGCCACATATGGCCCGGGTCCTCAAGTTCGGTTCTTTGACGGAATCCAAACTTCACTGAACAAATCCCCTTAATAAAAGGATTTGTTCTGTAAAACTTGGACTTGGTCAAAAGGCCACACCCAAGGACCTAGAAGGCCACATGTGACCTTGAGGTGGCAGGTTCCCCACCCCTGCCCTAAACCCTCCTTCCCCATTACTGTAGAGGGCAACATAATCTTCCCAGTCCCTCAGGCTTGAAACCTAGAAGTTATCCCAGACTCCTCACTATGAGGGTGGTACCCTCTCCATATTCAAGCTGTTGTCAAGACCTGTCATTTCACCTTTGCAACATTTCCTGAATACACCCCGTTCTCTGAAACTACCTTCGCTCTAGGATAGGCCCTCAGCCCTTTACACCTGGACTGCTGCAATAGTCTGCTGCTGGGTCTGGCTGCATCAAGTCTCTCCTTACTCTAATTCATCCTCCATTCAGCTACTGAAGTGATTTTCCTAAAGTGCAGGTCTGATCATGTCACTCAATAGACTCTAGTAGTTTCCTGTTGCTTCTAGGATCAAATACAAAATGCTCTGTTTGGCATTCAAAACCCTTTATAATCTAGTCCCCTCCTACTTTTCCAGTCTTTTTTATATTTTATGCTCTGATCCAATAACACTGACCTTCTGGCTGTTCCACAAACAAGTCACAAGAGATGGAATCTCTTGGCTCTGGGGTGTCCCACGTCTGGAACATTCTCCATTCTAGGGTCTCCCTGGCTTTCTTTAAATTCCAACTGAAATCTCACCTGCTACAGTAAGCCTTCTCCAACCCCTCTTAATTCCAGTGCCTTCTCTGGGTCAATTATCTCCTATTTATTTTGTATGTAGTTTGTACATATTTGTTTGCATGTTGTTTCCTCCATTAGATTGTAAGCTCTTTCAGGGCAGGGACTGTCATTTGCCTCTTTTTGTATTCCCAGCATTTAGCATGGTGCCTAGCACAATGTGGGTGTTTAATAAATGTTTATTGATTAATTTATTGAAGTGTCAGGCAGGATTCAAACTCAGGTCTTCTTGACTCCAAGTTCAGTGCTCTATCTACTACTTTACCCAACTATCTGGCATGATTTCTGTCATTCCACAGAGTTGAAACTATTCCATTCTGAGGGTCTAGTAAATGCACTTTTGACCACGGGTTACTTGTTTTCATCTTGGTCATAATGCAGACAATTTTTTCCCCTCCTATATGCCATTCTATCCAGAGTTCAACTAAGTAAGAGGAAAACCCTACAGTGTAGGGGAAATGGGATCAACAGGTTATGATGATTAAGGCCAGTCATCAGAGTCCAAGAATAGAATTCCTCAGGGAAAATGAGGCATGTCTCCACTTTGATACATGAGAAAGCAAACCAGAGTCCATGCCAAGTCAAGCCCAAGGTATTGGGAATGCCAATTCAATGGAAGCAGAGAAAGGCACAAAGTCTGCAGCAGCAGTATAAATTTGGAGTTATGCATCAAAGCTGGAAGGTGGAGACAGTGCTTCTGTGCCCCGTTCTTGTCACTGCCCTGGAGTGGCCATGGGTTTGAATAATACTTAACCCTGATAATTTGTGCAAAAGTGATGATTTTTAAAAATATTCTCTTTTCACTATGCAGATGATGATGGATCCTTTGATGTTTCAGTATTTAATGAAACCTGTTTGAAATGGAAGAGGAGTCCTAGAGATGCTGCAAAAGAGCAAATGTACCAGGTAAGATGGTCTTCTTTTGAATGAACTGAAAAACAAGCCATTCATTCATTCATTCATTCATTCAATCAACAAATTGTTACTAGATGCCTATGGTAGGTCATGTAGCTAGATAATGAGGGAGATACAAAAATAAATAAGATACAATCCCTATCCTTAAGGTGAAAATCTTGAAACTGAGGAACTTAAAATATTTACACTATCACATATGCCTATTAAAAGCTAATAATACCTTTGGAGCTCAGAGACAGTGTGGTATCATGCATAAACTTGGATTGAGAAAGACCTGTCTTTAATTCCTGTCTTTGACTACATGACCCTGGACAATAACTTCTTTTGTCTTAGGCAATTTCCTAGGACTTATCCACTAAGACTTAAGAGTTCCTTATTCCCTTGGAGATAGGAGTTCTGTGCAAGGAAATCAGATCCTTCCTGTATTTCAGTAACACTGAGCCTACATTCTTTATTTTGGGTTTTTGAATATTAATGTGAATGATCATAACTCATTTTCCTGTAAAATAATCATCTGAACTTGGAATTTAAGTAACTTCTTGAAGGACTACATGCTCACATAAAAGTGTACCTTTTAAAAAAAAAGCAGAAATTTCATATAGAGAAATGATGAGGCAAAAACCGGAAATAATTTCATTTGAAAAAGGGGGTCCTTATATTTTTGCATATAGGAGGAACTAGCCAGAATATAAATGGTGTCAAAGAGTGCATATTTAGAGTTTTGTTGGGGATGGTGAAAAAAGAATCTCATCAGTCCCCATTGTCTTGATGCTCCTCTAGCCCCAGCTAAGCTATGGTGAGAGGGAAAGAGAAGTTTGTTCTACCCTTCCTGTTCTTTTTCGATCTCTTAAACTCAATCGATCATCCAACCAACAAGCATTTATTTCAGCACCTATCATGTCTTCCCTTGTCACTTTGCTAGGTGCTGGGGATAAAAATATCAAGAATTACATAATCCCTATTCTTAAAGGGCTTACATTTGAAAGGAGAGACAAGTAACATATACACATACATAATTAGCATATGTATAATATGCATATACAGAATAAATGTAAAGAGAATGAATACAAATAAACACAAGATAGAAAGTGAGGGTACTTGCAATTAGAGGAGCAGTAAGGGCTTCATATAGAAAATGGTGCTTAATCTGTGTTTTGAAGGAAAAGAAGGATTGTTTGAGGCAGAAGTGAGGAGGGAGTGCATTCCAGCTATGGGGAGCATCCAGTTCGAAAGTATGGAGATGGGGGCAGCTAGGTGGTGCAGTGGATAGAGCTCTGGCCTTGGAATTAGGAGGACCTGAGTTCAAATCCAGTCTCAGACACATAATACTTACTAGCTGTGTGACCTTGGACAAGTCACTTAACCCCATTGCCTAGCCAAAAAAAGAAAAAAAAAGGTATGGAGCTGGTAGAATGCTAAGTGTGAGGAACAGAGAGGCTGGTTTCATCGGCCTCTCTGTTGGGTAGAAGGAGGGGTAGAGACTACTATCTCATGAAGCTGGAAAGATAGGTTTGTGAAGTCCTTAAAAACTCTAGAGGCAATAGGGACCCATTAGAGTTTATTGAATTGGATAATTGTATGATTAGATCTATGCTTAAGGAAAATTACTCCCAAAGCAGTGTGTAGGATGCACTGAAGAGAGACCTGAGACAGGGAGATCAGTTAGGAGGCTGTTGCAATCATCTAGGTGAGAGGTAGTGAGCAACTGAATTAAGATGATGGCTTTGTGAGTAGAGAACAAAAGGATGAATGAGAAAGATGTCAAGATAGAAAAATCAATATTTGGCAAATGATAGGATATATGGAATAAGAGAGGGGAGAGTTGAGGATAATACATGTGGAAGAAAATGGTGCCTTTGGCAGAAAGAGATGTCTGGAAGAAGGGTGGATTTTAGAGAGATAGATAAAGAATTATATTATGATCATGTTGAATTTGAAATGTTTCTGGCACATCCAGTTTGAAATGTTCCATTGGTGAGAGGAATGAAACTCAGGAGAGAGCCGGGTTCTGAATGTATACATCTGGGTGTCAGCTGCACAAGGATGATAATCGAAACTCATAGGAACTGCTAAAGTTACTGAGAGAGAATACACAGAGAGAAATAAGAAGCCCCAGCTGTTAGGGGGCATTGCAGAGATGATGATTTAGCAAAGGCAATTGAGAAGGAGTGGTCATACGGCTAGGATAAGAACCAGGATAGGGTAGTGTCACAAAAACCCAGATAGTATGTTGGAAAAGAAAATGATCAATAGTATTAAATGTAGCAGAGAGGTGAAGAAGTGGAGGAAAGACCATCAGAGTTGGCAATTAAGAGATCACTGGGAACTTTAGAGAGAGTAGTTTCATTTGAATGATGAGGTCAAAAGTCAGATTGCAGGTAGCTAGGTGGCGCAGTGGACAGAGCACTGGCCCTGAAGTCAGGAGGACCTGAGTTCAAATCCGCTCTCAGACCAAACACTTGCCACTTACTAGCTGTGTGACCCTGGGCAAGTCACTTAACCCCAATTGCCTAAAAACTGAAGAAAAAAAGTCAGATTGCAAAGAGCTCAGAAGTGAGAGAAGTTGAGGCAATGTATTCATACAGCTTTTCTAGAAGATTGGTTTAAAAAAAGGGAGAAGAGATATTTGGATGAAAATTTGAGGGCATAGGAGAGTCTAATGAAGGATTTTTTTTTTTAAGATAGAGGAGACTTGAGCATTTTTGAAGGCAGTAGGGACAGAACCTTAAATAGATGATGAGAAAGAGAGAGGATGATTAAAAAGACAGTCTGATGGAGAAGAAAGGAGGGGATGGGATCAAGGATGGACAGGCAGAAGGAAGAAAATAAGTGTTTCTTAACTATTTGCTATGTGCCAGGCACTGGACTAAGCACTTTACAAAGTTATCTCATTTAATCCTCAAAACAGTTCTGGGAGGGAGGTTGTAAGTAAGGTGAATTTTAGTGTGTGTAAAGTGGATTTTTTGTTATTCTTTCTTAGAGTTTTCTTCCCAGGATCCATAGCCATAACAATCTCTACTTCCAAGGTTTTAGATATGAGTTCTTATGATCATGGTTTAAAACAGTTTTTACCATGCTTGCCCAGTAGATATAGGGATGAAGTGATGTAAAATTGTGAGGCTATTGCTGGCAGTGTGCCTTCTTTGTTGCCTTATAAAGCAAGTGGGCACTGGTCAGTGACTGGGGACCCCGATGGGGTGAACGTGCAGGCTGAATGCTGTGCATGCCTTGATTGGCCCCCATCAAGGTTTGGGAGGGGAAATCTATGTGTTTGCCTCAAATGGCACCCATTGAGGCTTGAGGGGATTTAGGGGAGAGCACAAGTTGTGCTGGTCTTGACTGACCCCATCTAGACGAGGGGTAGTTGCCCCTGCGAGAAGGGTCGTTAGGGAATGCTGTAGGAGTTGGTGCTGCCATTATTGGTGGACTCCCTTTGAGAAGAACAGACTAGAATAAAGTAAGCTTATTTAACCCTTTATTATGACCCCATTCCTGTCTTCCTGTCTGACCGGATCAAAAGCGAACCTATTAGCGAGAGAGGTACTAGAAGCCCTCCTGTGTCTCCTTCCTAAGAAATGGTGTAGTCGATGTGTTCACTTGTTCAACAGAGGTGCTATTATTATCTCTATTTTTCAGTTGAGGAAATTGAGGCAGAAGATGTTAAGTGACTTGCCTAGGACTATATAGCTAGTGAGTATTTGTAGCTGGACTTGAACTCAGGTCTTCCTGACTCCAGGCCTTACTTCAGTGAGGCCCCAGTTGAAATTGGATAAAATGAATTTATTTTATACCTAGTCAGTACAATTAGGACTTCCTCTAGCACTGTTCAGCAGCATGTGAGTATGGATAGAAGAGGAAGATGGTGGCAACCATCTAATCCAGGTATGAGATTTGACAAGGGATGAACGTTGAAAGTACAAGGGGTTGGGAAAGGGAATTCAAGGGTACATAACAGTGTAGAATTGAATTGGTTACCTATAGTGTTGGAATTAGGAATGGAGAAAAGTGAAGACAGAGCAGTGATTAAGGTCTGAGGAACTGGAAGTCACAATGAGGGTAAGTTTAGGAAGTAAGTTTAGGAAGGTTGATAGAAGAGATGGGAGGTTATGGCTGGGTAGGGGAAAGTCAGAATTTTTGATTAAGGAATTAGAACACTTGTAGGCAGTCCTTGTGAGATCCATTCCCATATATATGGTTGAAATAATATAAGAAGTAAGACATGACAATTAAGGAGAATGAGAAATTGGGAGATTTGAGAGAGCAGTAACCTAAATATTGAAGTCCCCTAGATTAAAGGCAAGAGTTGAGGAGGTGAGGAAGATGTTGAATCAGGTGTACAACTCCTTGACAAAGGAGGGAGAATGACCTGAGGATACACTACAGCTGCCATGATTTGAATGGAGTAGAATACAATGCAATTCAAAACAGCTGACATACCTATCCACTAAAAATCATTAATTAGCTGCTGGGGTCTTTGCTCAGTGTTGTGTATTTGTCCATATAACCTGCCTAGCAATTGGTAATTGGTGGTAAGCAGAATATTGTTGTGCTGGCAGGGTGTAACCCAGTCTTTGAAAACAGAAGTTGGACTGAAAGGCTTAAGTCAATATTAGTTTAAGCTCAATATCAATTCAATGTTAAGCCAATGAGGTCTTAGTTTGCATGACTAAAGACATAGTATAAAAAAACCCAAAAAAACAAAGGAGGCAGCAGACTGGAGAGACTATCTCTATGGTGTCTACTTCTGAAATTCATGTATTTGGAAGAACATTGACAAACTGGAGTGAGTGCAGCAAAGGACAATTTCTTGTGAAGGGCCTGGATACTGTGGGACTGAAGGGCCTTGAGGAAGATGAGCCTGTTGAAGCAGATTTAGGAAGGACATCGGGTCATAGCATTAGAGCTGGAAAGGACCTCAAAGGCCATCTGGTCCATGATTGCTGTCTTCCACTGTTAGAAGAGCTGTCATAGAAGATGGATTAGGTTTGCTC